AGACCCAGAATGCTGGGATAAACAGGTCTGGAGCAAATCACTCACCTTCCTAGACATGCACAAAGGGAAGAGACAAAGGATTTGTGCTTAAAGGTTAAATCCTTATATCACCTCTCTCTACTACCAAACCTATCTAGGTAAGAAGGCTAAGAAACTAAACAGAAATGTGTTACAGCCTGCATTCTCCCAGCCCCCTTCCCACTGCAATCACCTCCATCCAAAATGAAGTGCATGAATGCAACAGTCCTCTTATCCCTGCTTGGTTCCCACTTTCATTGTGCTCTGAACCTTCCAGGTGCAAAATAAAACAGATTGGTCCAGAATTTGGAAACAAATGAGGCAGGCTGCTTGCTCCAGGCTTCCAATTTAATAAACATGCATCTATATCTCATGGACAGTCTGTCACTTCCCTTTAATAGAAATCACCTGCTCCTCTAATAATCATTAAACAAATTGACAGCACAATAGCCAAGGCCTCTCATCTTAATGCCACCTGCAGCAAGAATAAAATAATCCACTAACATCTTTTCAAAAAGGCCATTATTCTGCCTAATACAAATGCACAAACACACACTCATGTGACACAGGATCAAACATGTCCATGAAGAGAATAAATTGCACAGGAATTCTCTTTGTTTATATAACGCAAATATTTTATTAGTAAAATCATTTCTCATTTTCTCTTGATGAGGATAATAATCCCTCGTGCTTCCTGCAGTCCTTTCCTCTGCTAGAGCCAGATCCTGAGCAGCTTTATGGGCACCATCAGAGCAAATGGCCAGGCACGCCTGCACTGACAGCTGACATGCAGCTGCTTTTCTAAATCAAAGAGCTTTCAGGCCAGAATGTGCTAAGCACTGCTGAGACCTAGAAAGTTTTCAAAGAATATACTGTCCCATACTGGGAAGGATTAGAATTGCTCTCCTATACATCTCCTGGCAGGATCCACCAAGGTGCTGGGATTTCTGGCAGTTAACTGCAGAGCTCTCCTTGGGTCCAGGATGACAACTTTGCATGCAACCTTTAATAATACTTAAGGGTTAGATGGAATCCCTCAGTAGATGATTCAGTATGCTGAAACGCCCAAGGTGTTGTGTGCAGCCTTTCTCCATCTTCATAAACAGTTAAGCTTTCAAGAAGTGCCACAGGTCTGTGTGGACTTTGCTCTTTCTCGGTCTCTCATAGATGATCTCTGTGTGCTCAGTCAGTGCACGCAGTGTTTTTGAAGCAGCCAGATGCCTCTGCTGCCATAATATTCTACATTAGTGCGTGTAAGGTCGCTGAGCTTTGGTAAATAATAGGACCCAATCTTCATTAGTTGAAATCATGTCCCCTTCTATACAGTGTCTTATGGTCACACCTTAGGGTCACCATGGAAGAAAAAATAGTAATATTTTTTTAAAAATCGATGAACTGCAGTGTGACGAGTTATACCCATGGTGATGGAGCAAGCACAAGGGGACAAGGGCTTGCTCTTGGACTTGTTCCTCCCTTTTATCTCTGCATTTTGTTCTCATTCTCAGCTGCCTGTCTCAGAGCATCTGTTTGTCTCATTAGCCTGTTTCTCGTTCTCCCCCACATGCCGGCTCCAAACACAGCCCATCAGTCTCAAAGCTCTATTAGCCTTCAAAACTTTCTTATCCACAGCATTCATCGCTGAAGGACACTTGAGGTTAATGAAGGATTTTTAACAGCCTTATGCAACCAGTTTGATTGTCTCAATCATGTTGATTTGGAAGTCATGTTGTACCTGATGGGGCCTCTCATGTCTGATGAGAGTGCAAAGAAAAGATACGCTGGGATAAAAGAAAACCATGTGCCAAAGGGACAGCAACAGCTTGGCACCAGAAGCTTTACAGAGGAGCACTCTCAAAGCCAGGGACAATCAGCTCTGTAAAGGCAGGTGCACAGAAAAGTCATACCCACATTCTGGTAGCTAGAATATCCTGAGGAGCCTCACAGCATCCTTCAAGTCACCTCTGTATCTCGCCACATGTTTCGCACAGAATGGGAAGCACCTCAGGAGATGCTTGTCTTTTCAAAGCAGCCCCTACTCCCAGATCCCACTTCCCAGGCTGCTGATATGTGGCCTGCAGCACAACCAAGGGCTCACACTGCAAGAAGCCGTCCTGTGACTTCTGTTCAGAGGTAAATTCACTGCTGTACTTCCCCTGTCATCTGGCAGCTGTGCACACAAGGCTTTACCCTCAGCTTAAAGCCGAATCAACTGTCCTTCACATCTCTCCCTCTGTGGGGGAGTATCTCCACACACAAGCATTCAGAAACCAAGGACACAGTAGAGCTGGATCTACTCCAGGACAATTCCTAGATTTAAAAAACCTCATGTGGCTACTGAGCATTTGAAACGCAGTCTGGGAGTTAGGATGGAGGATGCAAGGGAGGAGTCTGAAATGGGTTGTACATGGATAAATTGGGCCCTTGCTGTTTGTCTGGTCCTTATCTCCACAGTACAAGAGCGTATCAGTCATTTGCAGGGTTTTCTTCACAGCATGCCTATGTGGGAGGGAAATTGCATGTCCCCATTTTCCAAACAGGGAGGTGAAGCAAAAGGAGGATTACATGATTTTGCTGTTCCTCCCCAAAGTCACACAGGAGGTCTGCAGGTGAGTGGAATTGAAACCATGTCTCCCAAGCTCCCCAGCCTCTCAGCCATCCTCCCTTTACTAGGCATGACAAATGCTCTGCAATCAAACTTGCCTTGCAGAAATCTCAGCTAAGCTGATGGTGTCTCCCTTTTCACCCAAAGCTTTTTTGTTTTAGCAGGTACCAACCTTTAGTTACAGTTTGAAGCCTGATTCCTGAATCACTTATTTGTTATGGCATTCATTGCAAGGCACCAATACACTCTGAGATACACGATTACATTCCGCACATCCACTGAAGCTAATTTCAATGGTGTTATAGCTGTAAATTAAACCCTCTGAGCTTAACATGCCCATGACACTGCTTTGGTGGGAGCTGGGTCCTTAGTCCACCCAGGTGTATTTCAAAGGTGAACCAGAACGCTGCAGGGAGCTTCAACGCTTGCTCAGGGGAACGCAAACACGTGTAGCGGTTCTTCTTGCTACGTGTGCTGATGTTACGATCAAAGTAGTTTGCAGTGGATATAGGTTAGTCTAACCAAAATCGTTAGACAGACAAAGATTAACATGCCTAAATGATACATGTGTTCTAATTAGAGAATGTAATCACCTCAGGCTTGATCATTATTGCTCCCTTTACGTGTAGCATTTCAGCAGCATTAAGATCCCTGGCAGTTCTTTCATCTAACTTTTATACTCAAGGACATCAGGTTTTTAATGATTAAACACCTAAACTCTATTTTTCACAAATCTTTGAAGAATAATTATTTTCCAAGTACAAACCCTGTACCAGTGAAACCTATTTTAAAAACCCTCTCATCTCTGGCTGCTGCACTTATGTCAACAGATCTTTTTGGAAACCTGACTGTGGAAAAGCAGCCCAAAAATAAAGAAAATAATATTTTGTCATTCTCTATTTTTCCATTCATTTTGTTCTGTTGGAAGATTCACAGCTCAACTGTATGATCTGTCAAAGTATCAGCATTGTCAGAGTTAAGGAGATTTTCATTTGAGACTGAGCCCTTGGGGCAGTATTACCCTGATTTGGGACTGCCTGACAACTGGAACTCATTCCTTCTGATTTAGCCTCATCTTTCTCCTCACACCTTTCTGCATATATCTAAGTTTCCCCCCCACACACCCCCAAAAAATAGAAAATCTCCTTTTGCAGTATTAGTGGTATGCAGGGAGAGATTCAGAAAGAGTTGGCATAACTTTTTGCACATTCATCGATACATGCATTTATTATGTGGTTAGCTTCATATGATTCTGCAGAATACATAAATCTGGCTGAGAATATAAAAATAGCCCACTATCAATCTTTTTGTAGTGGGAGATGTAGATTCATCGGTGCAGGCAGAGGGAGCACTGGCAAAACTTTATAGCAGCTTCCATAAAGCTGTCAACAGTGAAAACAGGCTGGTTTTTAAGCTCAGGGAACAAAGACCATATTGGCACCAAGTCTTACAGCAGGAATACTGATGAGATCCTACAGTCAGAGGTTTGTGGCTAGGACAAGGAAACACAGATGTAGACCTTTGAGCTCTGTACCAGCGTGATTCCATCAAGCTGTTAAAAGCAACTGCAACCCTTTTGAATGCAGCTACAAAGGATGTTTCATTTTCTCTGTAATTCTTTCAAAATATAATACGAGTCATTAGTGTGGCTACCTACCAGATATATGTGGACGTAACTATTTAGAATTATGTAAAGTTACGTTGCAAGTCTTGCTTCCCTCTATGGCTATTTTGCTGGTCTGGCCCTAAAAAACATAAACTCAGGACTGCACATTAGTTCAAGGATCACCAGTTTAGAGGGTCTTTCAGAAACATGGCCTTTCAATACCAAGGAAGCTGGAAAATAAGCTTGATTAAAGCATTGTTCTTAATATTTTGACTTAAATACAATTTCAGTAAGTTCTATTGCTTGCCACATTTCAACCCAAGCTTTTTGAAAAGGTCACTGTCAAGGGACTGGGTATTTTCATTAAAACAGTACCACCGATCACATCAACTCTTCTGTTTTCAGTTTAGCACTAAAAGCCAGAACATCAAACAAGGTTCTGTGTGCCAGCTGCTTTTGTGATTCACACTCTATGTGCAAGAGAGGAAAACATGCCATAAAAACAATAGCAAACTACATGTTCTTAGGAGATTTGTATAAGTTTTCAACTAAATATTCCTGAAATGTTTTGCATATATTCAATCTGAATGATACCGTGATACCAAACCTGTGATCTATCCGAAACAGAAATCAGGCAAAAAAACAACTTTCATCATACATGTGCAGCATACACAAATACATCACATACACGTGATAGCCACCCAGCAAAGACAAAGAAAAAGGCATCTGCGAAGGAAAAGAAACACGAAACTGCTGCAGCCCACATAGACTGACCAAAGCGATTCCAGCATCTTCTCTACAATTCCTTCCTTTTGTTACTCATCTGCTCTGACAAGAACAAGCAGAGGCCCTTGGGTAGCCCTAATCTCTTTTAGAGTTTTTCTGCCCTTATTAGTTGCAGCTCAGCTGACACCTGTCCCTCTCAGCCCAACCTAATTAGATAGCATCGATTTACATTAACTAGTGGGAATGCTTTCTGTTGTTCTACATTTGCCTTCTTTTCTACAACTCTAATTAGCAGTTAATCTTTAAGTTCATTTATAGCTCCAAAAACGTGGGAGAGAAGTCTCTTGCCCCCTGAATAAGACACTGGTTGAATTTGGAGACCTGCACACATAAGTCTGCTGCTATCACCGAACCTTGGTTTGAGATCCCTGCTCTTACAGATCGCTAAATGCAGTTATAGCCTACAGACTGGGAATTTGGCAGATTGGAATCTGAAGGATCCCACAAATAACCTTCTCATGAAGTGAAAACTGAATCAAATTGCCCAGATTGAATCTTGTAATTAGAGGCTCAAAATATCTTTTGGACACTACTACTGTATGCATTATTTGCCTTTCTGATCACTCAGAATTAATTGATAAGTGCAGCAAAGGTAAAACTACCTGGGCGTCCCCAGGCTCCAGCTCCTGTCTTGTAACTGACAGCAAAGTGACAGTGCACTACTTCAATGTAAACATTGGGAAAAATACAAACATACTGACCCAAACCTGACCCAAATTGCATTTTTCATGCAGTTCACAGAACACGTGAACCAAAGTCCTTTGAAATTCATATGAAACCCTTTCAAAATCTGTTTGAACATCCAGTTGCAGTGCTGTGTTCTCTCCGTAATGTGGTGTGTATGCTTTTTGTGCCTGAATACCAATAATTCAGAATAAAAGAAGAAACATGATTTTTGAGACTGGTGCCCCAGACACAGAAATCAGTCAGTAAGAGGCAGAAGGCTGTTTCTCCCAGCTGCCAACTTTTACCAACAGGTAATCAGTTTGAAGAGAATGAATCTGCATCACATACAATTCTTTGCTGCCATGTGTTAGGCTCTCGTGGCAGGGGTTACCATCTCTCCAGATGTGTTATCAGGGCATTTGGACTTCTGAGCAGTTTCTGTTCGAGTCAGGTCAGCCAGATCTACTATTAAAACATTTTAAGACAAGCCAGCTCTTTCTTCCAAGGTGTGCTAAGAGCACTGCCGTGAGGAAGAGGCAGCTTTCTGCAGGAGGCAGGGTGCCCTTCGCTTGGACAGTGCTCCATAGCCATAGGCAACCTCTGCATTAAACCAGTAGGAGCCAAAGAGACTCTGCCCTATTGTGTCCTGTACATTTTTAATCCCATCTTGCCCACAGGAAGGGAGAGCTTCTTTTATTATTACCAGGGTTCAGTGATGTTCAATGTCATTTACCCTGCATAAAGTTGGCTCTTTGTGTTTTGGGGACTGTAGCACTACCCAAAGGTGCCAACAACTTCGTAGCTGTGAAAAATGGGCATGCATTTTTTTTAATGAGTCTGACGGCTGTAAGGCCCCCAGCATTGATATATCATCTGCAAGATTGGGAAGAAGTAATCCTGCAAACCAATCGCTGCAAGGCAGATTGCTGACTCCATATAGTGCAGATTACATCACCTAGCCATGGGCTAAAACAATACAATGCCTCCAGCCAAGAATTTTCTCTATTATTAGAAAAACAATTACTTCTTCCAATCTGCACTACAAACATTGGAGGTGACGAAGTAGCCTGTGATCTTTTTCCCCTCATAAACTTCTCTCCATAGGAGGTGCACCACAGAGGTGGTAATAAAATTTGTATCTAGTGGTTCAGTGCACATTTCAATATTACTCTCCTGCAATCGAGCCTGGTGAATGGAAAACAAATTTAAATCATGATAAAAGCCCAGGCAGATGCTATCTGTATTGTTAACTGCTTGTCATAGGCAGAGATGTATTTGCATCCTTTGGGAATGGCAGATCTCATTTTTTCCTCACTGTAAAGCTGTAACATTTATTGCCTCTGAGCAGGAGCTACAAGGGAGCCCACCTGGATGATGAGCTTGTGAGAACAGAGCCTGGTGGTTTAGCATTTACTTCCTTGTACTCCTCCCTCCGTTTCTAGTCAGGAACACACAAATTCTCTGCCTTTATTTATTTATTATTCTCCCAGATTAATCAGGAAACTCCACCTTTTCTTCTGTTGACAGCATAAACATATTTAAACTCAGAAGCATCCTCTATTTACTGCCCTACCTGTACCTCTGCTATCTCCTTCTCTTCTCCCATCTTGTTCCAAAACCAAAAATCTTGATCAAGCAAAGCACAACATACTCAATGTTGCTGTAGGCATGTGAGAGTGTGGCATCCCAACAGGTTTAATTAATGCAGGTTTTTCTGGAACCAGTGGGACTACAATAGAAGTTAATGGGCAGATGTCATGTGCCAACAATGTGTAATATAATAAAATTAGAATTAGGAGGATTTTTTAAAATACTTATTAACACGGTATAAAATCTGTGACAGCTATCATGTTGGTCTGTTGCTTTATTAGATAAGAAGTAAGGAAGGATCAACTGAGAGTCTGCGCCTGAGGAGGACTGAGATACTGGTGTTAGTTCACTACAGCAGGAGCTTTTTCAGTCAGAAACAATGAGTGAAGGAACAACGTCAAAGAGGCAGTGCTGACCTTTGAAGGAGACAGATGGTAGCTTTTCTGGGCACCTGGAGTCATCAAACTGAAGACAATTTTTGCAAGACTATTTTCATTCCACTGAAGACTGTACAGAGATGTTGGCACACAGATTTCACGCCACGGACTCAAACCCATTCAGGAAACTCTAATTTACCACAGTAAAAGCCACATAATCCTTGCAAAACAAATACGACCTTTTCCAGTACTAAAATGTTGCCTGGTGTTATTTCTGCACTAAACAGCTGTCATAACGAGCACCCCAGCATTCAGCAGAAGGTGAAGGGATTCTCCATAGCCTGCAGGTATGATCTGAAGTTAAAAATCATTAAAGGCTTGTTTAAAGTGCCTTTTTATCTTTGCTCATTTCTGTAACACTATACCTAAATCTCCTGGCACGTTCTGCAACTTGGTTTGGCAGTCTGGTGCAGAAATGAACCAAAAAGCAGTTTTCACGCAAGCAATAGAAAAGCAAATTCATCCATACTGTCATGCCTGGTCCCAGCCAGAGCATTCTGTGATGAAGATCTAGAGTCCTTTAACCTTCACCGTTACTGCTCGGCCAGCAGGATGCCCAGCCAGGCTGGCCTCTAGGCTGAGCCTTTACCACACGAGGTGTACCTGATGCCAGCCAGTCATGGAGAGGGTAGTTCGCATGCAATCAACCTCATGCCTGAGGTAAACCAGCAACGCATTTAAATTTACTAAAACAACAACTTGTTTAAAACGTATCAATTTTCAAAAATAATATTCAGATGTAATTGGGATGTTCTGGAAGCTCCTTTGCACACCTGCGATGGAATTGTTCCCAGAACAAATGACTGCATAGACTGTGAATGCATTTAGCCCTCCCTACAGACTTGGCATCTCTATTTTCTGCCTTTCTTCATAAAGAGAAAGAACATTGCCTTACCTTAAGTATTAGCAGAGTAAACTCAAACTCTATTTACACTCAAGCATGCATACATGTGGTAGTGACACTTGCTAAAAAAAAAACACACAATAGTCCACTTCAGAGCAAAACACATGAGAAAACGTTTCTTTAGTATAGGGAGATTTTTGCCCTAAGAGTTGTTTTCTATTCCACTGAGAAGCTACCACCCAGAAGTAAGTCTGCGTTTATTGCTTTAAATGTCTTTCCCACTGGCCAAGGGAGGAATCCATGTCGTGCTGAAGTCTGTATCAGGTCTTCACTTTAAGGCACAAATGAGTGGTTGAACAGAAAAATAATCAGTAGCAGAGAACAAGACAACATCAGCTGTAATAATCAGTTACTTCCCCATCAGCCATGTAAGAAGTCGACACAGCTTCCCACACCCTGACCCAGAGCTCTAAGTAGTTCCGAGTTCTCCTTAAAAGTGGCTTAAATTCACAGCCTTTTGGTTTTAAAATGGAAACAAGAAAGAGGAGATTTTCCTTGGGTTTCGTTCTCATTTTCTGTTGATGGCTTTTATTTTCAGAGCTTCAGGAATTAGAACAATTATGCACCACAGGCCTTATTAAGATTATATAATTAATTTCATTAATGAAAGAATTTCTAAATGTGTTTTTAAATATAATTATTTATTTTTATGTAGTTGCCTAATTTCCAAGGTAAATACCAAGCTATTGACATTTTGCAAGGCTTGCAGTTATAAATAGCATATTCCTAATGCACTAGATTTAATAGAATCCTTTTAGAAAACATATTAGGCTCTTTAATATAATGTAAAGTTTTATTACTTTTTAGTAATTATGGTGTTTTTCTTTGCAGAATTAATTACCATCCGGCTTCAACCTGAACTCATCATTCCAAGCTTCTCTCTCCTCTAGGTATGCGTTCTGAGTCTGGGTCATTGGCATAATTACCAGAGATCAGGAGAAACAGGTAGATTGTTTTCTCTATTTTCCTGTGTACTTGACAATGAACATGTTTCCTCATCAAGTATTCTACTTTGAATTAGACCTTGAGCAAGACAGGTAATACAATAAGATTGTTAAATGAAGAAAAACAAAATACTTTATTTTTTCATTTTTTACATGGGCTTAAGCACTTGAAAGGGTATATGAGATAATTTTGTCTTGAATTCTTTTCTTTATTTCAAATCAGGAAGAGTGAAAAATTTAAAGGGATGACTATGAGGATTTTTACTGTTATGTTACTACAACAGTATCTAGATGAGGGTCCCATTGTAGTAGATCTTATACAAACAGTTGTGAAAGAGCCTCACGTCTTCTCTCACGTAGCAAGATGCTACCAAAAAAAGGAGATTACTCTGCTTTTTATAGGAAAGTCCTACAAATGTCAAACAGTAACGTTACCCTGAATGGGAACACCGTACATACACACAGACTGTCTGAAATAGTTCTGAGAGTTAAAACCCACATGTGGGTATAAGCAAAGCCCAAAATTTTCACAGCATCTCAGTATCCAGAATGGGGTGACGAAGATTTCTAGCCCTTACGTGATCTTCAGAAATGTGTTAGTAAATTTCTGAAATCTCATACCAAGTGAGTCACGTTGTGCTTATGCTGACGCATTTATATGACCACGTGCATAATGAATACCAATTCTGAATTTCCACACTGAGCAATAGCTTACATCATATACTTTTTGAAAAGCCTACAGTCTCAAGAACAAAACAATTGCAAGCCATTCCGTGCTTTCCTGGAACTAGACCCAAACTTCTTTCTCCTGCTGAGACCACAGATCATTAACATTGTTAATGTTCTCACTAAAACTGTTTGGAGAATGTGACAAGTCCAATTTGTTACTGACAGACCAGTTGGGAGTATGTTTAAAATGCATTGCTCTTGCTATTATACTCCTTGAATGGATATGTGGTTCCTGTCAGGTACACTTGCTATTTTGCTAAAGACTATCTGTTATTTCATCAATCTTTTTAGCTGGCTCCAGAAGGGAAACCCTGCATTGTGCTCAACCTCATTTCTGCTTTTCAAGTCAGAAAGCTTGTGTTTAAAATATGATGATCACAGCTCAGGGAGGGAAAGAGACAGCCTTTCATAGCAAAGACAGAGAACCCAGAGGCATTTGACTCTTTGAATAGAGGTTTGTTTTATGTGGTTTTGTTTTTATAATTAAGCTGTATAGCCAGTTACCATGAAATTAGATAATGTATCTTCCTTTCCACTTTATTTTGAGGGTTTGATAAGACCTATTTACGAAGGATTGAACTTGAGCTTCCATTTAGCAGAAAAAAAATGTATTTTTCTCCAATCTGAATATCACAACCCAGGTGATGGGTAGACCCATCAGTTTGATGACAGGTCCAGTACAATGAAGGATGGGGGTGTCTGTGCTAAGCAGCTGGTGTTATGAAAAGTGATCTAGAGTTGCTTAATTTATGACATGCAGCTCTGTTCAGAGCAACTTTGCTTCCTCGTGATTTGACATGTTACCATGGCATAATCACTCCTGGACCTACCTTCCTTTTCATGCAAGTGTCAAAACCACTGAATAGTTTGAAAGATATTCTGGCAGTAGAGGGCACTTACAGGCACACAAGAGGACTACTGCCCTCAGTTAAGTGCTGCATCCCATTCTTTTGAGTGGCATCACACAGTGTCTCTATGCTTGATAAAGAGAGGAATTTGCTGCATCTAGGGAGCTGTTTTTTCACTTCAGCTACAAAGGCCAATGTGCTTAGACCCTGCCTGTGCACAAACACGTGTTCCTTTAACTATGACTTCATATAGGTTTAGTTAAAATATTACAGCTTCATAGCTAGACATTTTTATATTAGCTTCAGCCTTTCTAGTGAAAGCTAAAGCACTAACTTGTTTAAAGCATTACAAACCCGTATTGAGAAGCTGTACAGCAGCTCATGGTAAATAGAAGTGCTTCAGAAGTCCAGCTACTTTCCAGCAGTATTCCAGATGATTGCTTGCCTTGTCCTCTAAGGAATGCAACCACTATTTAACATGGTGGCAAAGAAGAGCCAGAAGAAGTAAGTTGTGGCAGCCAAAAAGGAAATTTGAAGACCATATATCTCTTCCCTCAAGTAGACATATGTTCTGCTCTTCATGTTGACCTGCTTAAGAGAGACTTTAATGGTAGAACCTGCTAAGATCTGTCTGGCTGCAGAGTTTTTATATTTGGTCCCTTTTCACAGCACAATACCTCTGTTTAAATTAACAAGCTGAGGGGGATTTATAGCTCTGACTTAGAAGATTATGAATTGTTATTGCTTTTCTCAAGTTTTTCATTTAAGCCAGTTGCAAAGCTTGGAAATATCTCATTGAGAGTGATTTAAATCCAGCCATACTGCATGTCTGTTACCAGAGCTGGTAATAATGCAAGATTGCTGTCTTGCTAACAATAAGGGGAGAGGCAGCCGGCTGAATGGACACAGGAAAGAGCCATTACACCTGACTGTACAGCTACACACAGCATATACATCATGCTGCACACATTGCTATCAATACAAAGTTATCTGATAGACAAACTACAGGCAACGGTTAGCATTTCCCCCAGCCCCCATATAATACATGGAGGCAAAACTGTGCTCTCAAAGGAAGAAATCCTTTCCATCCAGCAAAGGAAGAATTTAAAATCACAGTGGGAAGGGAGTGGCTGATTCCACAGAGGAAAGGGAGAAAGGGAATGTTAAACACACGGTAGTCAATATTTTTATCAGATCAGCACTGCTAAAGAGCCCAAGCCAATCTGCTATTTAGCAATGCTGAGACTTTCCATCTGAGATATAACAACCCTTGCCTACTGCTACCCAAGTTAAAACACGCAAACCTGTTCTCTCGTTATAGCAAAGATACACTTTTTATTTCTAGCAGTGAGGGAAACTACAGCTTCAGAGATTTAGTTGGTCTCAAAGCTCATTTGGAGTTAAAAGCCCTATGAGAAATCCCTAATAAGCAAGACCTGATAGTTTAATGCATTTCTGCAAAGAACTGTAATTTTCTAGGAAATGGATAGGATAATATCATTCTTGAGATCAACTGGAGGTCAGCGTGTTAAACTTCAGCTCTAAGTGTTGGTACAGAGGGATTCAGTGACAAATGGGTGATGCAGTTCAGAGAGTCAGGCTGCACAGTACCTGTAGGGAAATGGGTCAATTATTAATCAAAACTTTCTCGTTCACTTTTTTTTTTTTCTGGCCAAGATGTTGTAGTTTGATAACATTTGGATATCCATCCAGCGCAAGCCTCCTGATTTATTACAGCAAGATTCAAAGAACTCTAACAATATCCCATGTACTACACACGCCACAAGAGCATTGTAAACAGTCCTTGAGGCACAGAACTTAATTGTTGCAGGCAAAACAGAAAAGGTGTTATCCCCATTTGGCAGATGTAGAATTAAGAAATGAGCAACTATCAACTTTTCAGCAATTTAGTTCCGATTTAGAGAACAGAGTGTTTTTTTTCCCAACAGCTTTGCTCTCTGCTGGTTAAAAACAATGTTCACATTTACCTAGTTAGTATCTCTTCTCTGTCTAGTCTGACAGCAGCTTTTAGAGAGTTGTCAGAAAATGGTTTGCTTTGTTCTCCCACTGTCCCCCCAATTCAGCAAGGTTAGTAACAGTAAGAGCAGCTCTTTGTTCTGTGTAGCGGCATTTAACATTTGCTAAGACAGAAGATGTTCACATTAGCAACTCTGCTAATCAGGCTGCCCAAGGAAAAACCTGGAAAAACTTGGGCAGCTACAATATTGGGTTTTGGCTAATGCCTGGGTCACTTGGTGCAGTCACAACCAACATAATATACAAGAAATTACTCAAGAGATGCATCTTCATTTACTGTGTATTACAAAGGGACCTTTGTAATTCACAGGCCATGTTCAGAGAAGGTTTTCATTAACTATATAGGAGTCTTCTGCAACCAAAATATATGCAACCAAAACATTAGCTTGGCTACTCTTTTCAGTTTTACATCTCAACATACTCAAGAAAGATGATCTGTCACTGCAACCCCAACATTTGTAACGAAATAACAGAGGAACCAGAAAATTGGGAATCACTGGAGATAAGCAAATAAGCAGAAGTTTCAAAACAAAAGATGAAAACTCCTAGGTGCACATTCAGCGAAGTATCAGTAATTGAACATATTTGAAATAATGACTGTGGATATTACCTGGTATTTTCTACATGGAGAGATGCCAAGCAATGTTAATTTTAGGCAAGACTGGCTAGGAAATGAGACATGACAGAAAGGATAACTATCATTATCCTCTCAGGACACTACTGCAGTGGGATTTATGGATAAATTAAACATACAAAGACCAGAAGAACAGAGTTAAGGGGGAAAAGAAGTGCAAGTATCAGGCTGAGCACCTTAGACGCTTATAACAAAATGCAGTGTTGAACAAACCCAGTGCATGGAAGTGGCAAGAGCAGTAGAGAGGTGAACTTCACAAAAATTTGTAAAGCCAGAGGTGAGGTTAATGCATCTTTAGGATTAATGTAGTCATAACGTAATGCTGCAAAGAGCTGGTCATAAATTGCCTCAAGGGAAGGAGATGACAATGGGGAATCTGTGTGGAGTTACTGAATAATTGTATCAGAGCATCTGCTATACAATATGGTTTGAACTTTTCAAAGCCCCATTGTATAACTCACTTGTCATTTGGGCTGAGGAACAGACGACAGATCTACCATGAATGCTCAAAAACAGACCTATTAATTTTATTTTTCCTCCAAAGAGAAGATTATAAACCAGCTGTTCTCACTGAGGTGGTGTTTTAGCAGATTGGCCTTTTCTCCCCAGAATACGTACCCTAGAATCTTGTAAAGGGTTCCAGTAAAAGCAAGAAAGTGTTCAAAATTGGAACTGACAGCTTCAGTTAGCTTACAGCATGAAATTGCTTACAAAGCAATGGAGGAACATTACAATGTGAAGGACCAACTGAACCATCTAGTCTAAGCTTTCATGTTATTAAGATAACTGCAGTGATGCCAGGTATTAAACAGCACAGCTAGAGAGGCTTTCCCCCCTCTCCAGCAATATTCCACGGTTATTCTGAGACACAGCAGAATAAAATAGAGAGGGCTGCCAGCAATGCTCTCTGTCCTTCAGCCAGTTTGCAAGTGAATTCAGCATCTATTTGTTAGAACCCTGATGTGGGTACCTACACAGCCAGTTCTTTTCTTTGGGCGCTGACCACATGGGAATTTTAGGAGTCCTTTTGGTAAAGGAAGGCCTTCCCAAATCTGCTTTTATCAGGTACGATTAGGAAATGCCAACTTTAGTGGAATGGTAGAAATTCAGATACAAATTTATAACAGAAGTGTTCATTTCCTCCTTTCACAGGACACATGCAAAGACTCGGGCACTCAGCTTGCTAGGAAATGGAGCAATTGAGTCAGAAGCTGAAATCAGAATGGCCATCTGTTCTGGCAGCATGCAAGTGACTCCTTTGCGTGAAACCAGCAGCACAAGATGTATGTACATACTGCAAGGAGCAGATGAAAGAGATGCTGCATGCAGCCTCAGAGGTAAAATGTAGTATTGCAAGAGCAGTCTGAGCATACTTTAAAGGGGCACTGGCTTATGGCATAATGAACTCAGCAGAAATATTGCCAGATAAAGTTGGTATAGCATGATCTAAATATACAGTATTTACTGAATCATTCTACATTCAAATATATCTTTCTATATGCATAAACCATTATATATGAAATCACATGCAGGTTACAATTAGTGAGATTATCACAGTAGTGTCCTGACATATCAAGACACAATTTATTCCCCAAATAACAGAGGAGGTTTTGAGGCCTCAGTAAATCAACACCAAGGATTGAGGGAGGGAAGCTGGCTTGCTCTTTTAACCCAAATATCAAGTGAATCAGTCACTAACTTCTCCTGAGGTATGGCAGCAGAAGCTTTCTAAAGCACATTAAGAACCAGTTGTGTGTATATGTATTAAGATGGGAACTACCTGTTGCCTCCTGGATTTCTAAAGAAATCATTACATTAATATATGCAATATATTCCAGTTTTCTGTGTGAGAATAAAGATACAGACATGTCCTTATGTGTTTTCCATTTTAGCAGAGATCCTAGTTCTTATTTCTATAGCAATTAAGAACTCTGATGCCACTTAGCCTTAACATACAAAAGGGTCAGCAGACGCAGAGAATCCCATAGTGCTGCCTACATGGTCCCTGTCCTATGAACAGGATCGCCAAAACAAAGATGATCATTTGCATCACATGAATATATGTGAATGTTAATAAGAAAGTAGTTTGAAGTCTATTCAGTAACTGAAGGTTATGAATTGCAGGAGAGCATCACCTGACAGGCATACCCAAAGCCAGGTGTCTATACAGTACTCAGCAAGCTTCAGTAGGAGCACGTCCTTTGTCTTAACTTCTCAAAAGAGAATACAAGTTTCAGCCTAATGCTGTTTTTCTACATAAAGGCCTTTTTCCCCAAAATCAGATAGCTCTGTTTCTCTACATGGCATGCTTTTATGACTTTACAGCACAGTGGTTTCCTCTAGATATCACTACAGTAACCAGCTTCCTTTACATTTCTCTTTCACTGTACTACCATGCTCTGATCAATACAGAGCAGTCAGCAGATGTGCTGAATTGGGTATTTTGCTTTATTTTATTGCCACCACATATTCATAAAATTCTGATCAGATCAAGTTCTACCTCAACAACCTGTTTAATAGACTTGGAAGCAAATGCTATAGATTATAGGTTATCTTTTCACTAGCAGAAATGGTCCAGTACCTAAGGCAAACTTCAGAGCCTTAAAAATATTGTGTGCAATTCATAAGATACAGACCAACTCTTTTAGGGGACTTAAGGCTAGACATTTAAGCTCTACATCAAAAAGTAATTAGGCATTTCCACTTCCAAATTGAGGGCTTCAGCATGTGAATATCCTTCAGGAAGAGGTCTTTCTCGGTTCACATGACTTAATTTTCCTCAGATGTATTGTGCAAATACATAGAAAGTATCAACTGCCTAGGCACCCATGACTTGTATAGAGGCTTGCACCTACATCAGTTTCATTTCTTAATGAAAGCGATCATCTATTTAGATCTTTTCTGAACTGTCACACAATGATTCATCAAGAACTTGAGAACAAAGTGTTTTGATCATTAAAAAAATAAAATACAAGTAAAGCAAAGATACATGCAATGACATCTTAGATGTTTTATAGATTAAGAGACTCATGAATAACAGTCATTTCTTGTCATCTTTTTTTCTCCAGTTTAGAGTTTTCTTTAACTGAGATTAACACTAACTAGAAAATAATTAAGCTATCTTATAGAGTCTGGCATTCCATCAGCCATAGAAATAATTAATCAGACCCATCAATAGATTTTTAATAGCATTCAAATTCTGATTCACCACATTATTTCTCACCCCCACACCACCCACTTCTATTCTTGGTTTCAATGTGTGTTGGAAATGCTACTCCTTAAGACAATAAAAAGGAAAGCTCTGGAAATTAAAATTAACCCTCATTTTCACTGTCCCTGTAAGAAAATGTCATCCTTCCCACCTAATTTTCCAGCATCATTCACCACTGATCTGTGAATGTGAACTCATCATTCAGGTTCCCCCATTCAATTCGACAAATAGAAGCTTCTGCAAGGAAGCCAAACTATGGAGAGAAAATTTGTAAGAAAAGAAAGGTTCTCTAGTTGGCACAATTACGTCTTCCTCTTTGGTTGCTGTTACTGTTATACTTGTTGGCAAAAAGCTTAACCTAAACTTTGTTAATTACACCAGAAATGTAGCAAGACTTATCTTTTTATTTTCACATATCCTAAATGAAACCAAGTCTTAGCTCCTGAAAAGAAAAAGGGAAAAATAATAGGTCTGCTGGCTGTAACATCAGTGACTTCCAAAAATTGAACAAGAAATGGAACAATGGTCAATTTTTCTTCATTCTTTCTGATCACAAAGGATAAGTGATGCAGCACCAGTTTTTGTTCAGGCCAAATGGGTCACAATTATCTTATACCACTTCATTCCTACTCCAGAGAACAGGCAATCATTTGTTAGCACTGATGCTTATGTCGCAGTCCTCAGTGTACTGAAAAATCCATGGAAGGTCAGAGTAATCCTGAAGACCTT